ATGAAATATTCTTTGTGATGTGAGCTTCAAACATAACTGTAGCCTGATATGAGGACTGAGAAAATCATGCAGTACATTTTGGCACATGGACCCAAATGAGATGAAATATAACATAGACAGTATGACATGCAAGGACTGAAAAACGTACGAGGAACGGCTGAGGGCACTGGGCCTGTTCAGCCTGGAGAAGAGGAGGCTGAGGGGAGACCTCATTGCAGTCTACAACTTCCTCGTAAGGGGGTGTTGAGAGGCAGGAGACCTTTTCTCCATTAACACCAGTGACAGGACCCGCAGGAACGGGGTTAAGCTGAAGCAGGGGAAATTTAGGCTTGACATCAGGAGGGGGTTCTTCACAGAGAGGGTGGTTGCACACTGGAACAGGCTCCCCAGGGAAGTGGTCACTGCACTGAGCCTGTCTGAATTTAAGAAGAGATTGGACTGTGCACTTAGTCACATGGTCTGAACTTTTGGGTAGACCTGTGCGGTGTCAAGAGTTGGACTTGATGATCCTTAAGGGTCCCTTCCAACTCAGGATATTCTATGATTCTATGATTCTATGAAAAAGAAAACTGTGAGACCAGCCAGGATGTAAGGCAAATGAGAGCACTGGAATGCATCAAATGGGTTACTGATTACACATCCACAAGGTGGTATCAGGGAGGCAGAACAAGATTTTGCTTGATTTTAAGGGGGCAAATCAAACTGGAAAGTGTCTATGACAGAAGAGTAGGCCAGAAACCTGAGACACTGACCATAACAAATAAATAAACAGTGAGCATTCATTTATTTCATAGATTATAATAATAATAAAATAATAAAATAATAAAATAATAAAATAATAAAATAATAAATAATAATAATAATAATAATAATAATAATAATAATAATAATAATAATAATAATAATAATAATAATGAGATACATGCTAAAAAGACAATTGGGATCAAGGACAAGTTTCTTTAAGACAGACTTGAACAATGAGTCTTTACAGACTGCGGGGAAAGAGACAGATAAACAAGATTAAAAATCAAAAGATTAAATAAAAGAGGATAGAGACTAAAAAATCATCACAGAAACAGAGAAGAAAAAAAAAATCAAAGGACAGAGAAATACGGTTGACAAAAAAGCTGTTGCATCTATAACTGGAAAGAGTAGAACAGGAGGTAATGAGAGAAACGGAGGGAAACAGGAATCATCTTTATCTCACACAAATCACTGTATTTGTATTAAAAAAAAAAAAAATGGAGTAGAGAGAAGAATCATATGCATGTACAGTATTTATGGAAATGTCCATATTTTATTTGATGAAATCTCAAGTGACAGGAAAAAATTCCTGAAATGAGGTTGTCTTCTGATGGTTTATCATGGTCTCTCTCAAAAGTGGTGGGGAGACTGGGCGGAGTATAGAGCTAAGAGATACTAACAGCACAGAAGAAGGACTATTGGAGAGACATGATGCAATTGCATGCTCAATTAGGCTTTCTGTTCAAAGCACAAAGTGCCCTTTCCCATTAATACTATTACATATTAAAATGAGTATTGCCCAGAAGGAATTTTCCCTGAGCTCCTCCTCCAACAGCATCTAGGACAATGGATGAAAATGGGCAGTGCTTGAGGACAGAACTGGCATGCAAAATCTCTAAGGAGACAGAGAGAATGCAAAAGATAACCAGGTTCAGAAAATGTTCAAATAGCTTAAATCTTTCTTTTTTCTCTCTTGCCTGGAGAAGTCCATTTTATGTATGCATTTAAGCACACTGTATTTTAATATGCATTAAAATGTACTCTTCTAAATATCTGTGCTCCCACCTCCAGGTGGGAGCTACATTCCAGGTAGGAAGAGTAGCTACAATTCTTAGACTTTAATTCTGTTATATCTCATCATATTGACTGTGGTAACTGCTGCGACTTTGTGTTCCAAGGAGATGGGACTCCTTTTGAACTCTCCTTAAAATGGCAGAATAGCAGTAGGGAACCCTCTTCTTCAAGCCATGGTACACTAGGAAACTCTGACAGCAATTTTGTGTATATACATATACATACACATACATATAGTTATAAACATATAACATCATTTCTAATAATACATTATATATATTTTATACATACACACTGAATGCACATCTGTGTGTATATACATCAAATATTATACAACAAAATCTCCACATGTTTTGAGGACAAAAAAAAATAAAATAAAGGTAATTTAAGTTAGTGTCTTACTTGCCAGGATTATGTCTTCAAGTAGCTATCTCTGCATTACCAACTGTAGTCACTAAAAAGTGATGAAAATTACTTAAAACCCATGATGTTTTGAAAGGCTGTGATTGTGGAAAGAAATTACCTTATACTTGTGCCTTTTCTTACTATGGGGGCTTATAGATGATGCAGCTCTGTATTCCTAACTTTCAGTTTGCTCTGCGGTACATAAGTATTTTAAGTTCTGGACTTCTGAACTAGACCATTAGCTTATTAAAGTTATAATATCCAGGGTATTGCCAACCTGCAGATCTCAGGAACACATCCTGGCTCCCAGATTACCCCTCGTCTATCCTAGACTCATATTAGTACAAGACCCAAAAGTACATTGTATCCTCTCCTTCCTTACTTCCCTTGTAAAGGAAAATCAAGTATACAAAGGCCAGTATACAAAGTTTGTATACAAAGTATACAAAAGCACAGCATGTGTTATGCAGGAGTGAAAACAATGGGTTCATTATGTTATTCTATGTAGATTAGAAACCATTTCCTTTCAACTCTACATTCATTTAGAGAGCTCTGAGTATTTTAATGGAATCATGAGTGATCTCTTTGAGAAGAATTTTTAGGTCCAGCCATCTTGCAAATATGGTCACAAGAAACACATCCACATTCTTATTTTTTACCCAGAAATGGCATAGGATGGAACTAAGGTCTCCATATTAAATATCTATAAATATCTATATACGTGTATCATTCATACTTAATCTAATAAACAAAAGTCTGATGAAAAATAGTCATCTCTACAAAAGTTGGTTCAAGCTGTTATTACAATCTCCTAGTGGCAGATGTACCACAAATTCCTAGCATAAAATAATTCGTAATATATAACAATCCTTTAGTTATCAAATTATTCCTAATATTTAATGCATAACTCTTAACAACTTAATCCAATCACTTCTTCTAATCTCATATTCCTTTCATCCTCAAAAACTATGGTGAATAGGTAATCACATTATTCATGTAGCAAACTTTTACTTATTGAAAATTATCAGACCTCCTCGATCAAGAGCTATTTTCTAAATTAAACAAACTCAATTCTTTCAGCCTTTTCTCATCTATACAGATCATGTGCATCTTTTAGGTGCACTCAGAAATCAACCTGCCATTCTTGCTGAGGTTTCTCCAGTAGTGAACAGTTATCTATTATATCCTCAGATGATGTTTCTGTTAAATATAGTTTCTGTAAAACTATTGCATTCCTGCTCACTATTCACAATTTGTTACATATATTCCCCCTACTCCAATCTTTTTTCTTTTATAATAAATCCTAGCCTTGCAATTTTTATGACAAATGAGATGACAAGAAGGATGCCTCTCAGTGAATTAAAAAGCACATTACAAACTACCTTATCAGCTCTGACAGACTACCTATATCAATGCATCACTACAGCAAGAAGACATTGTCTACTCCAAACTTTTGTTTATCTTTTGTTTAAGGAAACCTGGATTCTTTGGATGGATTTATTTATTATTTATTTATTATTTATTTATTTTAATGGACGTTCATTTCAGAAAAGATCTGCCTTATTCCATGCTATGGACAGGGAAAACAAACAAACAAATATATATATATATATGTATATATGTATATATATATATATATATATATATATATATATATATATTCCTGATATTCCTGCTTTTTATATTGTTAGATACTATCTACCATACTTTGCTTTGTTTTGAATTTGTGATTATATTGTATTTAGCATCTCCAATTCCCAAAGGATTACTAATAACACATATGCACTGCAAGGAAAAAAGAAAGCCTTTGCTTATACATCTGTTAGTACCATACATTCATCAGCTTATCAACAAGATGCATCCTTGTTTGGGTATCAAATCTACTTTCTAGTTCCAGTGCAAAAGGTGCATCTGTATCTTCCATTTAGACAAGCAATGTGTGAAATCACATATGGATTGGTAGTTCCAATCCATAGTTGGTAGTATTGAGCTTACATCTGGGAAGACTGATTTATATTGATTATGCCACCAAACAAATGGAATATATCAATCATAGAAAATAATAGATTGTCTAGTTCTTAACAGAATACAGAAGATTAACAGGTATGTGGAATGAAAAAGTTCTCCAGTAAGTTTAATCAAATATGTTCTTAACTATCACAGGGTAAGGTATATTAAGCCTTAGTAACTACATTAGTTCACTCTTAGGAACCTGTAGATGCTGGTGGAGCAGCAATCTCAAACAGATATTACTGTTAGCCTCTTAGATGTACAATTTATCTCCCAGTACAATATAGTATGAATCTCAGAACAAAACATAGCTCTAAATGAGGTGAAATAAACATAAATTAACTACTTAGCATAAACTTCCCCCAGGTTAGAAACTCTAGAACTCCCCAGACTCATTTATTTTTGTGCAGTTCCACTGTAATAAAATCAACAAGATGTGAAAAAAATTGAAAACTACAACTTAGCTTTAATATAACATCAGTGAATAGTCACTGATGTATTTGCAGATTTGCTACAGGGGTTTTCAAGATTACTGCTCAACATTTTTTTAAATTAATGACCACTGAACATAAAAGGTGTTAGAAGGCCAGATATGAATTATTTACAGCTGTATATTTAACTGTATATTATACTGTATATTATACAATCATGTATTCAGTAACATTTCAAAATCCTGAAGTTACTGTATCATATGAACTAAATATATACACCAAAGTTTGTTGTCAAGAATCAACAGAAATTTATATTTGTCATTGCTTCTGCTACAGGCTTTGTCTAAAAGATGTAATATTGTGGCTGTAGAGATGCTCCATACTGTGACAAACCTCCAGAGCCTCTTCCAAAGAAGAGCAGAAAAATGACATCTGCACCTATTATTTTGAGTGAGATGTGGTAACGTGTCTCAAGTTTTTCAGCCTCTTATGCTGTCATTGTTGTTGAGCTTTTCCATTTTCACAAGTAGAGAATTACAAGTGTTGTTCCTGGGAGCAGAGAAGGAATAGTGTTTGCAGCAGGATTGAGGCAACTGCACAGTTTTTTAAGTTTGATTTTACAGACTGGATGTAGTACTCTGTAAATTTTTGTTTGTCTCAGAATAGCCTTTTGTCAGTATAACTTGTATGCCATCAGTTCTAAGCTAAATGGGACATAATTTCTAAAAGCCAAAAGTAAGATTTTTTCAAACCTGGACTGAGATGTCTCCATCAAATAACCTGTGAAAGCTTGGCAAATAACAACTCATATTCTGACACCTATTCAGCAAGTGCCATTCAGAATTTCCAGTTTCCAGTTTTCATAATACAGAGATCTGATCCACAATTCCCTCAACACAATTGAAATTTCTATTGATATGAGTGAGTTCAGATGAGGTTTTGTTAATATTTGTATTATCAAGTGCTGAAAGGTAGCCTTAAAGACTCGTTACAGTCCTTGGCCTTGCTTAATCTCCTGTGTACATGTATAAACAGATCCGTACTTTTCAGGAGATTCTTTTCAAAGAAGATAATGATGGCAATGAAACTGAAGAGCTTGACAAAATTTAGTTAGGTATTTTGTTTTCTAAAACTGACAGATAAAGGGAAGAGTTAATTATTTATTTGCCAAAATAAGGAGAGAGTCCTCTGCAGAACTAGACAGCTTGTTTGTTTTTATAACTTTGTGGGTCAGAATACTTGTTACTGCAGAAAACAAATGATCAGGGGATCAGAAATCCACTGAATGTTTTAAAATTATATATTCATAAACATCATGTGTACATCGCATATCAATGTGATTGTTACTGTTAAAAAAAACTTGGAGATATTTACAAAACACTAGATTATTAGTTTGACTAATAAGTTTTCTAATAACTTCCTAAGCTTCTACCAGCTTCTGTTCTCAGGGATTCTCAATATGTGTAACATACATTAAATATTGCAACTTAACAATTATTTCCCACACATTTATATCTATCTATATTTGTTTTCTTTTACTTTTTGGTGATAGGTCCCCTTCTTTTTGACAGTCTAAATGTCTGGGCACAGCCAGCTTCATGATATCCAATTCACAGCTGGATTTTGTGTGTCAGAAATCTGCTGGTTTACACTTACATATGGCCTTCAGTAGCCAATAATGCAATACTATTGGGACTCTGCTATTATGCTGATACAACTGCTGTTGGGTGACTCATGTCAGAAATTAAGATTCATTTTATTTTCAATATCCACCCAGAACACGGATGAGATAGAATGAAGATATATCTTTGTGAAGCTGGAACTCCATTCTCTTTCACAAACATGATTTCTTTTGTGGTGCCCCAATTTAAACTGTACATTTTATTTTGGAATTCAAGATTCATGTTGCATTACATCTTCCAGTGGGGACTACAGTCTCCATTTGGCAATGAGAGTTTTATACCAACTTAATTAAAGTATCTGAAAATCTGTCAGGGAATAAACATGACTAATGATTCTGATTATCTTTCAACTACTGACCCATCTAACAACAATCTCTACACAGAAGCTTGAAGGGTGACCACGGTTGCCAATGTTTAAGTGTTTGACATTAGAAATAACTGCTTTAGCAAATCACACTTATTGCTGTTCAGTACTTTAAAATTGAGGCCAGAACTGAAAACAAAATAATTATGTTAAATTTAATCTGAATTTCAGGTGCAATTTCTGGAAATTTTCTCATTATCAGATCTTTCTGCAGATCTACAGGGATGCAAATCCAGTCTTCAAAGATGCAACACTGACAATATCATTGTGGTATAGCATACCAATCAAGGCTCCAAAAGAGTGAAAGCAAAACAATTTACTTTTTTCAACTTCATTTGTTTTCAGTTTCACATTTATTGCCAGTTGCTGTGAGTGTACGATGGAAAGTTTCAGGTATGTCAGAACACCAGTTTAGCAATCTTTCCTTGTTATAAGAGACATGAAGCTTATTCCTCCAATCTGGTTCTGTTTAAACTAAGCAAAATATCACAATTTGTCTCCAGTGAGTAATGGATGTTTTGAATTTATTGTAATTAAAGTCACTCTGCTTAAGCATATATTATACACTTAATTTATATTTCCATTGAAAGCTTGAGTTCCCTGTAAAGTGACAACACAGAATCTAGGTTTTGAATAGCTGAATCATGATTCATTTCAGTCTATTTTTCAGTTCTGTTCCTTGAAGACCAATCTCATACCTCTTGATTCTTAACAAATTCAGCAGGTTTTTTTCTTATTCATGTATACTTCATATGTATGCATTTCTATGAGTACACATATGCATATATATCTGTATTCTATATACAAACTGAAAATCTGTCCACTACATAAAATATTTAGAAAGGCTTATAAAGTTAGCAAAAATAGAGCCTTGTCACTTTCTGTCCTTACTGTACGCTATCACAGACTGTGCTCTACACAAACTTCTTCACCAGAACAAAGCAGCTATCCCATCAATCATATGCTAAATAATGTCCGGAAGACAACTGCACTGGAAGCAGGTCACATATCTTAATATCAGTTCTGTTCTATTGTTGACTATTCTTCAAAATTCAACTACTGAAAACACTTGGGAAACAAATGATAATTCAAATACACGACTTTTCACGTGTTGTCGTTAAAGGTGTACTCCTTACATTCTAAAGATAAACACTGCCCTTAAGCTAACTTGACATACATATAAGAAAATTTCAAAAACTTCTATAGAGTAAAATGACCCAAAGTTTTAAACCCCAAAATGCTGCTGGATGTTTGCCAAAACTTCAGCATGATGTTTTAAATTGCTTCTCATGAACTATCTAATTTGTTACGAAGAATGACCTGTGTGCCTATACATAAGTGGCTGCTGCTATTTTAGGTACTCTACTGAGGCATCCTCATTGACAGGGCAGCTATAACACAATGTTCAAGAGACTTTCTGAAACAGCAGCTCGTAAGACCAGACATGATAAGTAGGACATCTAAAATGTCTCTAGACAGGTATATTTAAGCAAATGAATCACACCTATAAAACTTGCAAAATCTACTCTTTTCATTCAAAAATTAAAATTGTGCAGGAAGAGATTTTTGTTCAGTCACTTAGTCCTCAGTTGTTTATTATAGAAGACCTTGGATTAAAAAAAAATCAACTTTGAATTACATGGTTTTCTTTCAGCACTGAATATACATGGAAAGTGCTCATAGCAGGAAGCATTTGATTTCAAGCCCTAAAGTAGCCACCAATAAGAGAAGAAAACAAAACAAAACAACAACAACAAAAATCCTTCAGCAACATATGCTAACCTCTTGTCCTTGTCCTGGCAATAAGTCAGCATCTAACAGTTGAATACAGCAGAAAAGGATTAAACAACTAAAAGATGAAACTTGCCAGAAACTTCTTAAACTCTGGTAAATTTAAAGTGTGGTCTAAAGAACAGACATCCAACTTATCGTGGCAGGTTCAAAATGATCATCACATGTTTGTGTATGAAGGGCAGTTTACACTAATCTGTAAAAATTTCTAAAATACTCCTCAAAATCTGTTATAGATGTCAGAGGAGCAGGACATAATGCTGGGTTTTACAGGCTGTTTTTAACACCAGTACAAAGATGTATAGAGGATACTTGGGGGTGGGGAAATGGGGTAGGTATCAAAACATAATTTCCTAAAATGTTCATTAAAATTAAAAGAGAGGTTATGGAATGAGTTGTACCACATTACACAACAATATATGATTAACTGTTGATGCAGGTATTTGTACTGTAAATGGTTAGTTCTGTTCATGCAGAATTTTAGTCTTCATATAAAATACTGTCTCAAATTTCCTATGAAATGATTTGGATTTTCTTTCTCACCATCATTATCACAAAAATTCACATTATCATTCACAGAGAAAATTCACATTGTTATTATTATTCACATTATATTCACAGAGAAGTGAAGGGTACAGATGTTGCTATGTATTTTAAGGTTTGCAAAATTAGAGTCTTTCCATTTACAGCCCTGTAGCTTTTTACTTGTTGCACCTTTGACTTTGTAAGTCATTCACTGACATACCCCATGGCTGCTGGGGCAATATTTTTACCTTGTACACCCAAAGGCTTTTGTCCTCGTGGCCTTGTACCTTCAAATTTCAAGACATTGATATGTCTCTGATGTTGGTTTTCTCAAGGGTATGCATTGTGAATGATGTTTAAGTTACCCTTTCTTCTCCTTTCCCTTTTTCACCTCTTACTTTGTAGCTTTTGGATTACAAATTTAAACTCAGGAATACATAGAGCTCAGTAGATAACACTTGTAGATGATTATTATTTAAATGGCTCAGAAATACCTTCTCAGCCCTCATGCAACAAAGACAATAATATGGACTTTAAGAATTATATATATACACTATATATGTTACTTTTGCCCAAGTTTGAATAATGTCAAGCATGAATGACTGAGAAAAGATTAAGGGTGTTACTAATTATAACAATAAAACAACTTAAGTCTAAGTGGATGAGACAGAAGGAAAATAATTATTAAAAATTCAATAGCAACTATTCTGTAGAGACAAAAAAAAAAAAAGAGAGAGAGTATTTGAGGTTACAGAGGGAAACGGTCCTTAGGCATTTGATATTACTTCAAAAATTGACCCAAATTCTCAGATTCTATTTAACAGAGATCCCAAAAGAACATATCTGAAGCTAATCTATCTGAACCTTTTCAAACATCATCAATATTTCCCACCCGAAGAAGAAAAGAATAAGGGATCCCTTGGGGATCCCTTGGTAATCTGTCATGAAATGAAGGCTTTCTTTAAAGAAATACAGCAACTCAGCCAAAGAAACAGTAGCCCAGCAGGTTTATCACCTCTCTCAAGTACTTGCACTTCAAAATGTTTAATTTTTTTTTTTACAAGTAGTTTAAGGAAACACAGAAGCATAAACAAACACCATATCCAGACACTAGATAGTGCTATCAACTTAACTATCTAAACCTCACAATGTAAAAACATGTAGTGGAATATTCTCTCGATATAGAAGAAAATGCAGCAGTTATTAATTGTCTTCCATAATTATTACATAACTTAGCCCTCTTCTATCCCATGTGAGAGAGCTCTTAACAAAGACAATCATGTCCTCCATATTAATCTCTGTCTCTTTGAAAAGAAATTACAATTAACATTAGGCAAATCCATTTTACAGGAAAGAAAAATATCCTGGTACCTAAAAATTCCATATGTCATTTTTGCTGTTTTGTTTTCATAAATAGGGCTCAAAGAGCCTGACTTGTACTGAAATAAACATTAGCATAATGCCTAAGGATACAATTTTTATACCTGACTATGGAGTGTTGGTAGCATAAATGCTGAACTTAAACTGTAGAATAACTCATTAGGAAATATTTACTACAAATATGCTTGAAGTGTTTTTAAAAATTAATATTATGCTGCTATGCTTGGCTTAATTAGCTTTCTTTTTCATTTACAAAGCATATCTGTCTGGTTTATGAACTTAGTCTCTATTTCCCATTCTTGCAAACCTGTTTAATTAAAGTTTTAACTACTGCATAAGCTTTAGAAACAGTAGAATGACTTTTATTACTAGAAATCTAAATACTTCTTTTAAATATGATCATATCTACATATACTACATTGGAAATATGACAAGACATACTACAGAATATTTCTGAATCACACATGATTCTACTACTTTTAAATAGATACCATCCATTTCCTTTATGTTGCATGTAGACAATTTTGGTCTTTTTGCACAGAAAGTTACACTAGTAGTAGAACTGTGATTAATTTAGCCAGTCACCAAATCAGTCCCCTGAAATACATTAAAGGTCACCTTTCTTTTTTAGGTATGTACCAGTTTCTAATCTGCTTTTTGATTTTCTCATCCATTATTCTGTTCTATCTCTTTTGGAGGTCCATCACTTATTAGACTCCTACATCTACTAGTATGGCACTATGCTTTGGTTTTCAATTATAGCAACCTGTATCACAATCTTTTTCAGTATGTATCACTTGCTCCCCTTCATGCTATAATAAAATATTAAATGGTAATTTATTTTTGCTATATGTACAAAAATGAAACCTATTCATTAGAAATATGACCTGAGATACACCTGAAGCTATAGAAATACATGACATATCATAATGGCTGAATATTAAAAAGCTTGTGGCATGGTCAGTGAGCAGAAATCATTTGTTCAATCACTGCCAACTAACAACAATAAAGCAGAAAATATTTTTGTCTCCCCTAATCGCAGACGCTGGAGACCCTGCTTAATGACTTGCTACCCATTATACCCAAAATACTCTACAGTTTTATCACACGATTTACTTCACAGAAGTAGAATGTCAACAATAGTGAGTTCTATAATCATGAAAAAAGATAATAGTCATTTTCCCTCCTATTCTCATTTGAATCTCGTAACCACTGGGGTGATCAAATTCAAAACCTTATTAGTTCTGCTATTGTAACCTAGTCAGACCCTCATTTCAAGATCAGTTCGCAGCACAACATTACGGTGGCAATCTTTTCAAATGAACAATTTACAATTAATATTTCTGCCAATATATATTTGTAAGCTTTACATAATGACAACCACAATAATTTCAAAATTTTCAAATTACAAGGGCAATCATTGTTCATGGCTGACAAACAGTACTGTAAAACACAAATTGGCACTAAAGAACATTGTCAGGCTCTAAATGAGGAAAAGAAGCAAACAAATGTGAAACTTTACACTAAACTTTACTCTAAATTTGAGAGATAGAGAGAGAAAGAAAATATCATCAGCTCATATTTTGTATAATTTTGTGATTAATTCACTCAATTGAAAAATATGAAGCGTATCAAACAAGTATAAATCTTTGAAGAGGTGACTTTTTCGTACTCTTTATATATGTTCTCATCCTAGGAAAGACCATGTAAGATAAGAAAAATACTGCATAAAATACATTTTAACCAGATTTTAATTTAGACTAAATTGGTGTGTTTCTTAACATTAAGAAAGCGAGGATGGTTCACACCAACTGAGATTGATCCTATGAGAGTATGCTCATATGGTCACAACTGGGGGTGT